CGACTCACGAGCGAAACGGCACAGCGAGAGCCTTCAGAGATTCCGTACCATATGCCCCGAGACACAGAAGGACAAGCTCGGCATGGGAGCTCCATTGATTCACGAGGAACCGCTCAGAACAACGGCAAAATTAAGTGTCAAGTGCCAAAAAAAAAAAAAAGACTAGCCTGCCCCCCTTCCTCCCCCCCCCCCCCCCTCTCCTCCCCTTCATTGCCACTGCCGCCGCACTTCCTTTATAAACAGCTGTTACTACGAAATTGCTCGACAAAGGGCCACCGTGCTGAGGCACGCACGGCTACGCAGCAAGACTGAAGCCCAAACCGCTAAAGTCAAATATGTTCCTGTGGTTTGCGGTGAAGGATGAAAACAATTAGTAAGCAAGAAGCACCTGCGTAACATGTTTTCCGCCTATTCTGAATGCATAACCGCATTCACTATCACGTCGAGAATTAAGTTTACGGTATTACTTCCCATCACAAACTTACCAAGTTCACGAGCCACGCACATCGCAAATTCATCGTGTTCACGAGCCATTCTCCATCACGTCACGAATCCATTGAGTCATTCACCCATCACAATGAATTCTATTCACTTCACAAAGTCCTTCACAATCACAACAGATCATGAGTTCATTCAAATTCACGAAGTCATTCACCATCACATCACATTATCATTCAACATCACATCACGAATTCATTCAAATTCACGAAGTCATTCACCATCACATCATGACTTCACGACTTCCTTCACCATCACATCACGAATTCATTCAAATTCATGAATTCATTCACCATCACATCACGAATTCATTCAAATTCACGAAGTCATTCACCATCACATCACGAATTCATTCAAATTCACAAAGTCATTCACCATCACATCATGATTTTTTTCGAATTCAAGAATTCATTCAGAGCCATTCAGATTCACGCCGTGAATGTGAATGAAGGTGAATGAGCGAGTTCATGAATGAATTTGCCGAGGTATGGTCTCGAGGAATAAAAATTATTAATTAAAAATCGAAATTTTAACTGCGGTGCGTGCTATGACTCGTCAGCTATTATATTCCTCGGGAACTTTACGATTCTTAATTTCAGTGAGAATAAATTTAAAATTTTGTTAGAGTGGCTCATAGGACCCAATGCAACAATATCATATTGGGGCCAGGAATAAAAAGTATACAATCCTGAGGTTCAAGTAGATATTAAATAAGAGTGTATTAGTGCCCTCTATAAATATCCCGGCGAACTTAAGGATTTATGCAGTAGTTTGGCTGGAATTATTTTATTACGTTTTTCTGAGAATAGCCAAGATACCGTGTCCAGGAATGCTGGGGATGTTACGGCTGACTAACGTCCGGCTATCTAAACATGCATACAACGAAATTATTATTAGTTTATTTAGGTAATGTTTCGGATTCTCCGGGTTGTTTTGCAACGTTCAGGTTCAGGACTTACAGAGAAATAGGTCACCATAGCGGCCGGGAATGCCAGTCGCAGAAACCTACAAGATCGAAACGGCTTTCCGTCGAGTGATTTGCAAACATAATTCCCCAATTTTGCTTATACGGCAAGTTGAAGGGGCCGTTCGAAAGCCATCTGAGTCTCGTTGCAAAAGGAAAACATTTTACACTCCTGAGTCCTCCCGATCAGACAACTCGGAGATACGGAATTTCTCAGATAAATGAATATCATAAAAATTGGCTCTCGAGTGCTTAAGCCCACTTTTTTTTTTAATTCATTTGAAAATACAAAACCCTTTAAAAGTATGCTTAGACCGGTGGATATGACATTGTGCAATTTGTTTAGAAATTTGCATGAGGACACTTAAGCTTCGCCTTCAGGAGTGGAACGCGATAGCTAAATTTAAACCCCTGCTCGTTGCCAAGCCGTGCAAGCGTTCCTCATTAGGCCTTTTAAGAATTGTGTAAAAGGTTAGCTTGCCTGGCTTACAACCGAAGGCTCGTGGGTTCGATCGCGCTCCGCCTAAACTCCTCAATTTTTTTTCTTTAAGGCGAATGAATTTTTTTAAAGCAATCAAGATTTTCTTCTCCCACCGATGCCGACACAAACGCCAACACCGACGCCGACGACGGCTTTTCTTCGACACGAGCTCCTTAAAGCTATCGCCTTGAAACAGAGATGAGCCCAGATGATTCTGGGAAGCGACGGACTCTCGATGGCAAATAGCAACATAAGCTTACGGGAGGTCCGCGAGGTCTCAAATAAACTCTGGCTTGGCCCGCGCCTTTTTTAGTTGCACTGCCCTGCTATCGAATGCCAAGGGTCATAAAGACCGGATGATGGTAAAACTTAAAATATACGTTTAACGAAGCGAACTCATTTCCATCATCCGGTCATAAAGACCGGATGATGGAAATAAAAAAAATATTATTAATATTATTATTAACTTGTGAATGCAAGAAACAAAAACAAAAAGGAACAGTACGACGGAAGGGCGACTGATTCTAAGCAGCGCTTTCACGGGGTTTCGGCAAACGCTTGGAGCTTGATGACTAACCAAAGGTGCAGTTAGTTAGAATTCAGGACGACCTCGTGTATGAGTTATGTATGATCATGTGCTAGGTCCTTTCGCGCCGGCAGCCGTTCCCGCTCGAAGCAACAAATGCCAAGATAGCGGTGTGCGATGAAAATGAAAGTAAAGCCCGGAATGTTTATTCTGCGCTAAAAATTTTCAATGCGTACACGGCGCCATTTAGGGATCATCAGCTCCCTGATGTGGAAAGCAAGCTACAATGCTAGTAGACGGGCCATCTGTCAGAAGGTTGCTGCGAAACGCGGCTGTATCGTGTCCGTCGAAGCCAGGCGGCGGATACTTTATTTTTTCCTCCGCATACATTTGTGCGACATTCGGTAGAAAACAGGAGTTTTAGGCAATTAACCGCTACAACGATTGCATTCGTCAATTCAGCAGTTTCACGTGGCATCCGGGATTGGAACGACCTTCCCGATTGCATCGCAGACGTCGCGGACGCCATCTTGTTTCGTAAATAAGTAACCTCATTGTTTTTATAAGGAACTAACGCCGTTGCTATTGTGACCTTTAGATATCTCAGCAATGTTCACTGTGGCTGAAGCGTTGCTGTATCTACATCAGGCACGTTTTTGGTCCTTCATTTTTGTATATGGTTATTGGTAGTGGAGTATAGTGAGTGCTTTTTTTCTGTCCACATGTAAGTCTTTTGTCCACATTTATTGCCCCCCCCCCCCCCTTCCTTTTATGTAATGCCCTGCTTTGACTTTAGGGGGACAATAAATAAATAAATAAACTATTTGCACTCCTTATCCCCTGCGTTGGGTTTCTTTTTTCAAACCTATTGGCGGCACAACGTCCTTCCCCGAACCGCTGCTTTCATCATGCCAACACGCTGCACTTTATAAGCACGTTTGGTCGGTCTCTTCTCAACGCGGTGGAGCGCGGCGAAACGGACGACGAACATATCGTTCTACGCCAGCGTGCGTTGGGTTCGCCGACGAGTATAAACAGCCCAGGCATAGCCTCCAATGGCCTAGGCCAATTGGTAACGCCGAGCGCGTTCGGAGCCCGAACCTACGTCGATAAAAGGTGTCTTTGGCAGCTTTGGTGACGATGCGTGCACGTCCTCGGCACGGCAGCCATGAACCTAACCCGCAGCCAATCGGCCAGCCGCTTCGCGACAACCTTCAAATCATTGAATTTTGCCGATTATGTAGCGGAGCAAAAATGTTATGGTTCCTTTTAGAGCACAGTTCTTAGGCGCCCGTTTCTGGCTTGAGCGGCGTCGCCGTCGCCGTCTGCGTAGCCGCGCGTTGTATTGTGGGACGTTTCCCATAATGACGCCATACGTGACGTCACGAGGGTCACTAGGGTCACGAGTGATGTCACAAAGCTCACGAGCGACGTCACGAAGTTCAATCGTGAATGTCATGATGAAGGTCACGACCTTGTCAGTGACCTTCATGAGTGACGTCAGGAAGGAGGAGGGGAGGGGGGAAGAGGAGGAGAGGATGGGGAAGAGGAGGGAGGAGGGGAGGAGGAGAGAAGAAGGGGAAGCGGAGGAGGAGGGAGAAGGAGGAGGTGGGGAGATGCCAGCTGCCCACTGTGCAGGCAAGTGATATCACCATTCATAAATCACAGGGAGACACGTATGAAAACGTGGTGTACTCGTTATCCAAGTATCTATCTACATGGGTACGGGTCTGTGCTGTACTCATCGATATCTGTGGCACGTCAGACGAAGTTGGTAAATTGTGTGCCGCCAAGGGCGACAACGGCAAGCTCAAGACTAATGCCGAGGAAATAAAAAAAAATGCCGAGGAGTCTTCGACAAAGCCGAGAGCAACTAGGATGACATCGAGAACATCACGTGCTTCGTCAAAGTGTTGACTCTAACGCTATATCGTTCTCCCGCCTTGCTTCTGCTGCCCTGTTTCCTGGCACCGGCAGAATTTAGACAGAGTGGAGCTTCCAGATGTGAGAACCATATTTCCTTTCTTCGGACAAGCGGTGAGCGAGAATACCACTATTCATATATATATATATATATATACTATTAAGATTGTTTGGCACAGTACAACGCAAAATGGAAATACTTCTAGAGAAAAGAAGGGGAGGAGGATAGACTACGGATGAGGAGGATGGGCATGCCCTCCTCTCCTCCTCCTCAAGAGCTACGCTCTAATTCGGCGTAACAGGGAGTTGTAAAAGTCTTTAATTTTTTTTTTAAATTTCAGTTCGCTTATATCTTCTGAATGAATTCGAATATTTGGTAAATACATTTCCGCCTTATGTTCTATACGTTAAAGCCAGTCGAAAGAAGCATGTCTTAGTATGTTCATGTTTATTGCATCGTGATTCACCCTTCAATGATCTTATCGGCTCATGCCAAAACCTCATTGACTGAAAAGTGATTATAGGATAGCTGGAACTCACCACCTTCTGCTTGTCTTACTCCAATACTGTTCATAGACAAAAAAACCTGTGCAAGAGGTAATACTTACATAAAAGGGAACCTTCGATTCGACGCAGTCAAGCAGCGTCCTGATTTCGAGATCGTTTTTTTCTGCGCAGGAAGAAAGCCCACCACCGCGGTGCGGTGGTGTCACAATTTGGAGTGCCGCGACTCGGACAATCAAACGATTGGCACGTTCAGTTACAACGGACGTATCGGAGCAGGCCGGTTAGATAGTCAGACATACCCTTTCGTCAGGAGTGCGAATTTCCTAGGAAACGTTAGCAACCACTGCTACAGCATGGGCGAAATGGATTGAAAGCACTTTAAACTGATCGCATAAATCGGTTTCTTAACTTGTCGCGCTGGGATTTACTACAGAGCTGCTCGAAGCAGTGCATTCATTAATTGAGAGTATAAATACAAGAAACCTCCGAAGCCAAAAACAACAAAAAAAAGAACTGTTTTTTTTTCTGTGCAAACATTATGGCTAATTTTTTTTATCTCGAAATAAGAAAATCATATTGGGCTATTCTGCTGTTTACTACGATTAAACAATTTGTGAAATAGAAAAAAAAATAAAATTGGCTTACCTATCCTTCACTTCATTTGGCCCAAATAACTGCCACAGTGACACATAATATCTGTTTAGTGTACATGCAATGTACAAGAAAACAGTTTTTTTTTCCTTGGTTTACTCACACGAGCCAATCTTTCCGAAATTTTCGCGAAGTCTTCCACTAACTTCAGGCACCTCTGTAGTAAATCCCAGCGCGATAAGTTAAGAAACCGATTTATGCTGTCAGTTAAAAGTGCGTTCAATCCATTTCGCCAACTCTTTATCTATATTGTACACGTGGGAGTACCACTTTTTTTTTTTTCGCGTCGCACTATATTAGAATCATGCTTTGATATAATGTTGAAATAAACGTGGTATAGATATTGTCTAGAATAAACTGAAATATAGATAAAGGAGATTTACGTACACTTATATCCCTTTGTTTCACTCTATATCCGGTCGCCGCAGACGCTACATCCTGATTAGAGTCGACCTTGCAGCGCCAAAATCAGGGCTCTCGTCGTATTCATCCGGTTGCTACAACCGGCTGCATCTAACACGCGCCAAACAAAGCAAAGAATCACTGTGCAATCGCTTTCCGCGATTGATTTAGCCGGGTATAGCAAACACGCAAAGGCGACGAGCGTGAGGACAATAAACTTTTGGCACTGCTTGCTCGGCTGACGATACAATCATGACACATAATACGGGACATTGTCATGAAGAAATGAACACACTTACCGCAGTGTTCCCAATTCAGACCAAACGCCACGAAGATCACAACGGCGTGGAGGACACAGGCCAGTAAGAACTTCATGGTAATGCACGCCTCACCTCCACTTCGAACGCCGGTGGGAAATCTTTTTTTTTACGGCGGGGCGTTTCTCTTTATATATGCATCACCGGGGCTAGATGACGGATGAAAACACGGCGAGAGTAATCCGATATGCAATACGCGGCAGCTGCAGCTCGCAGTGGTTTCCATTCAGGCCCCACCGAGCATACAAATGGAGGCTCGCTGTATTTTGAGACGATACGCTGAGGGGAACGGATTTGAAAATCCCTGGATCTGCGTGTATAGTTGATATACAGCACAATCTCTGACATCTGCTCTGCCTCATAGCTGCCTGGCATTGAGTGCTGTATATGCTTAAATGAAAAAAACAAACAAAGAAGCCTCCCCCCCCCCCTCAAAAAAAAAAAAAAACTGATGAGCTCACACGTGTAACAGAACGCGTGTTTTTCATGTCCCCCTCTGATGCCGCCGCGATGAAATTTAACTACAGAAGACGCTTTGTCCAACTTGTTTGATACACAGCTCTGTGTTTACCCAAGTCGAGGCACGTGGACTGGATCATTTACGTCATCTTTCTCGATTGAGCGAGGAGCGGATACTGGACACGAGAGCTGCGTCCAAGTCTGGAATCGAATTTAGTCGGTGCTTGATTGATTGAACTCGGACCCCTACGTAACCCTGCGTTAGAAACGAACGAAGGAGCGTGTGTTTTTTGCCTATGCACTTGAAATGAACTGCTAGGGGCGACTGTTCAATCTTCTGTTCATATCCCTTCAAACGCACATAAAATGAACACAGCGATTATTTAGCAGAGATCTAGAGTGCGATGTGATTGTAACCCTATCGCAGTTCAAGGTGGGCGAAGAGTACTCGAGAAATCCTCGCCCCTCTGAGGCCAAAACAAGCAAGCACGAAACAGTTTCGAACACGCCACATATACTGCTGGATATGATCTGGAAATGTCTGGGAGCCCGCTTCGCTGTGGAGCAGGTGCTGCAGTCACTGCGAGCCACGTGGCACGTTCAGCGGATGACAGGGCTGAAAAGGCGTTTTGGCTGAAAAACCCCAACTTGCTGGGGAACACAAGCAGGACGTTTAGCGTGCTTGATGACGCTTTACAAATTGCTTTCTCAAGAATTATCTTTTTTTTTTTTTTTTTTTTTTTTTTGCTCATTGGTATTCTTTGGACGCGATCCCTAGATCTCAATGATTGGCTTGTTACGTGATCTTCGGAAAAACAGACGTGGAGGAATGTCTCTGCAGTTAGGTTAAAATGAAGGTCATGAAACATCTCGAATGCAGAAGACACCACGAGCATTTAATTATTAATCAAAGAGTTCGTAGCAGCTGCAAAGAGTAATGATTCTATTTACTGGGACTACCGCTACTGAACGAATAGAAAAATGCGCATTGTGACCGATTCACAATCCGCTTTTTACTCTGGGAGAATCGTATTTTCTTGAACAGACAAATTTTTTTCTAGCAATTGTTCGCTCGGGGTTTGAGAGGCCGCTCGTATTGTGAACTCCTTCATCACAATACGCCGGAGTGATGAACGACACTTTGTTAATCCACGAAGGGGTTGAATGACACGGCATTTGAAGAAAAGTAAGGAAATTTTTTTTTAATATTTTTATTTTAGTGGAAATCTTGCGGGGAGCAACGATCGCCTCAGTGGGAACAGCTGTCTACCAGGCCATGCAACAGTTCAAGCTGAGCAGCCTGCAAAAAGGAAAAAAATCATTAAAAAAACTTGAATAACATTGCACGGAAGACCGGTCACGTGGCAGATCATCGAAAGTAAAAACATTTACAGAAGCAACTTCCATGCCAGTGAATTTTTTTTTAAACATTTTGTTTAAGCAAGGCGCGTCCGAAATCAAGCCAACCAGAGCGCATACACTCTGAAAAGAGCCTGCGAGTTCATTTTCCCGCAGACCGTAGGGAGCGCTCCAAAGAATTCCAGTCTACATGAACACTCTGTTTACACGCAAGCCCGCATTTCGCCCACACTAGGGCCAAGCGGGTGAGCAGAAACCAGATGTCCTTGAGGAGAGGCGTCTGTGCGTGCGCAGTGCCGACAGCAGAGCCAGCACAATGTTATGACGTCACAGTATTGAGTTGGTATCTGATATCTTTGACGTCACTTCACGGCGGTAAAGATTTTCCGACGTATTGCGCCCAAAATGCGTTTTTTTTTTCTTCTTTTTTGTTAACGCGTTTTTTGACGCGTTGATTATACACGAAGCCCAGCCGAACGCTGACACAGCATTTGTATTCTATTCATGTTTTTGTTCGATATTACTGTGATGATGTCGAAAATTCGATTGCGCCGGTTTCGAATATTCTATACTAGCATTCACCTCAAGAAGGAAAAGTTAAAGTCCGCCTCCTCGCGAAACTCTACTAATTTCCCCGTTCGTGTGTTAAAGGAGCTATGCAACAATTTTTGTACTGTGCACAAATACCGCTTAAAACGGATCCCTAACGTTAATGACCTATGAAACACGCGTTCGTTTTTCACCCCGCACAATAGAAGTCCCAGAAAAAAATTAAAGAAAAACGAGAAGCGTTCACCCCCTCAACTCGCAGCCAGAACAAGCGCGGCCACGTGATCTGGAGCCGACTATATGCCGCCAGTGTTGATCATAGCCACGCGCTGGGGTTGGCAAAGCGCAGGACACGCGCTGAATTCCAGACTTTCTTATGGCTCGGCTGTTGTCGTCGTTCCAGCGATTGGACACGGGTCACTGCCCGAATGCTTCTCGAGCTAGCAATTGTCACGAGCCCAAGTCGAGTGCCCACGCAATGCTCGGGTCCAATCTATGAACCGCATTAAAATATCGTCACTTGGGAGTACTTCAATCCCCACGTTACGCCATCAAATTTTACAAAGGAGAGATTGAATGAAAATGATCGCTTTTGTCCTTGAAATTACACCGCAACAAAGGAGTTTCTTGGCCAATGGCGTTGCGTGTGAGTATCCTTGAGTCCCAGGTGTGCCAGTAAGCTCGTGTAGAGAGAAAAACATTCCAATTGAATATCGTTGCACAGCTCCTTTAATATATATATGTACACGTTCCTCTTAGATTTGCTTTTTGTTATTTTATGGAAACTTACACTTTTGAGCACCAAGAGCATCGTGACTTTCTTCCTCAACTAAATATTGCAAGAACTACTTCCCGCAGCGCATGACGAATGAGCATTTTTTTTTTCTTAATGTGACAACAAAAATAGGTTCGCGGGCAACTTTCGGTGACATTTTCGTCGAGAGGAGGAATGCGCGTGCCCAGCTTTGATTGGCCCTCAAACAAGCCCTCCCGTATCTTCGACCGTACATAGCCACAGAAAGTCGTCCACGGGTATAGCTAATATCTGTTTCTGTCGCTTGAGGCTCTTCGTGCTTTGAATGGGCCTGCCGAGCACGCGCACTCCTGCAGTGAAATAGTACCTCTTAGGGACAGCGTGCTAGTACTTGTAGGCTCGGCTATTCTCGCACCTATAAAATAACGAGACGACGCTTCGATTTTGCGGATCTGCATTGCCCATAGTTTTCACGCGACCACACTCTCGTTTATCAACACCGAGCTAGTGCGTAGTTCTCAGCTTGACTGGGGCATTACCTAATAGAATAATTGAAGCCTGTGCACTAGAGTTTGGACGTCATCACGGTGAGATCGAGCAAAGACGCAGATTGGACGCGATGTACTGCGTCACAGTTCGACTGGGCCTCGTCACCAATCAACGCGTCGAAGTGCGGTCGTGATAGGTCTCGGGTCGAATCGATGACTTGGCGTCATCCACCTGCCATGACGCTTCATGAAGCAAGAAAACGTCGTTCGCAGGCCTTGGTTCTACTTTGGCGGTGTTGGTCGGGTGACTAAAAAATACTCTGCGACGCTCTTGTATTTTCTTTTTGTTTTCTTTTTTGAATGCAGAAATAAATTCGCGGAAGATACGGTAGCTATAAAACGCAGGCTTACTGTAATATATTTCTTGAAGGCCCCCTCCTGTGGAAACAACAAGAGTAAACAAAGGGTGTTTCATATTAATATCAATCATCAAATGCAAAAAAAAAAACGTGCACGCATTGAAATAGTGTAAACAATTAATATTCGCTGGAAATAAAAAAAAGAAAAAAACTTTCAGCCTTTTCACTTTGGTGAAGAAGGAAGACCAGCGGAGCTGCACAATGGAAATTAATGGCTGGCTACAAGTCGGCAAGCCAGAGTGGAAAGGCTGTGGCCATCTATGGGCGACGGCGGCAACCAGATACGTCGCTTGCCGCCGTCGCTCATAGACGGCGGTAGATGTCCAGAGTTCGGTGTCTTCATTTCTTTGCGAGGGACACGATCCTAAGGAAACTAGCCCTTAACAGCTCCGCTGTAATAAAGATTTTGAGACTACTGCCCTGCGGTAAATAAGAAGAGCCAATCGCGTCACGTAATTCAAGATGATACAGCCACTGTCAAAGCGCATGCAGCAAAAACTGAAACCGCACGTTGATGCGTCTGCGCAGTGTCGGGGCGTAAGTTAGCTTCGTCGGTTTATAGTTTGAATATTACGCCCTGCCTGGTCCTCGTCAAAGGCGGCAATGCAATATACTCAAAAAAATATTTTGCTCCTCATGTGCGAAGGTATTATATTGATAGTCGAGTTGATTTAGAACGCTATATGAACCAGGTCGCGAATCACCTTTCTCAAAGTTCGACGGATAGCTTTTCGCAGTTCATGATCCAATTGAAAAACGAGCCTTTAGGCTAGTTATATTTTTTCCCATTTTCTTACTAAGAACTGTCCTAAAAGAGAAGACGGAATGCCCAAGCGTACCAGTGGGCTGGCAGCCTAATTCGCTCTAAACAAGATGGAGGGTGTGTAATAAAGTTTGAGGTTGGGCTAGTTGGTGCACATTTGTAACAAGAGAAAAGAGCGCAAAAAAAGACACAGGGAAAAGCAGACCCCTACCCGTTTCGATCTGGATGAGCATCGTACCGGCGTGCGGTCGTGGATCACTACTGCGTGATGCACGTTAAAAACCCCAGGCTGGCAGTCGTATACTGCACTGGCTAAATTGCTCACCTACATTGGGTAACAATGTCGCCATGTTCTGGCAGACTAAATTCCTGCTGTATGAAAAACTCACGACTGATTTTTTTTTGTATTTTTCTTTTTTCTCACTTCAATGCTTTTACGTCTCAAAGAAAAAACAACAAAAAAAACAACAACAACAACGAAGTCGTGAGTTAGCGCAGCGACACAGGGACAAGTAGATGGATTCATCTACTTGTCCCTGTGTCTCTTTACCGCGGATCTGTTAAGGGCTAGTTTCCCAAAGTAATACAGTCCCGTCTCGTACAATTTGTGAATAAGCACGATTTACTCTCCTCTTCGCAGTTTGGTTTCAGAAAAAATCGTTCCACGGAATCAGCCTTCTTGTCCCAAAAAGAATATATATTACAAAATTTTGAAGAAAAAAGAACGGTTGTTGGCGTGTTCGTAGATTTTACAAAAGCCTTTGACTTCGTGGATCATAACATTCTGCTTTGCAAACTAAATTACTATGGTATTCGAGGGTTGCCATTAGCACTTCTCAATTCATACTTGAGTCACTGCTCCAATATATTAACATTAGTGGTCATTCCTCTGATAGAAAGCGTATTATTTCAGGGGTCCCACAGGGAAGTATTTTAGGGCCCCTTCTCTTTAACCTGTATATAAACGATATTGTGAATATAGACCCTGTTGCTAAATTTGTAATTTATGCAGACGAGACTAGTATATTTATTTCCTCTTTAAATAGTGATGAAATTGCGGATGACGTTAATTTTACTTTGTCAAGGTTGGCAGCGTGGGCAAATGAAAATGGACTAAGTATTAACACTGCAAAGACAAAGGCTATTTTCTTTCGTCCAAAAAATAAAAAAAATTTTATGCCAAGGCCTATAGTATTTAGCTCAAGTCCAATAGAGATCGTGAAAAATTTTAAAACACTAGGTGTCTTCTTTTCTGAAAATATGTCATGGGATAGCCATGTAAATGATTTGATTTCCAAATTGTCACGTGTTGTTGGTTTAACGTATCGCCACAGCCAATTTCTACCAGTTCGCGTGAAATTAATTATGTACAACGCTTTGTTTTATTCACTCCTCAGTTATTGTAACCTTGTCTGGGGCACAACAACGGCATCCAACCTGAACAAAATTTATCTGCTTCAAAAAAAATGTTAAGAGCCATCTTCAACGCGCCTTATGACTCTCACACTGAGAATATGTTTAGAAATCTGCAAATATTAAAAATTCATAAGCTATCTGATTATAGACTTTTACTCACCATTAAGAATGAAATTAAAAAGAAAAGTGTTCTTTTAAACGAGATAGTTAGATTAGAAAAAAAATAATACGGTTTACTTGACCCGCCATAATGAATATTGGAAGGTTCCCACATGCAGGTCAAATTATGGGCAGCAAATGCTTCGGTGTTTAATTCCAAAACTTCTAAACAACTTTGAAAAGGAAAATGGAAATATAGAAACCATATCTACTAAAGAGTTGCGTAATATATTTTTACATATTTAAGTGTTCTGTGTCTTGTTTCTGTTATCTCATTTGATAATGTATAATTTTCTGTATGATTTCTTTTTATTGCACGAAAACTGTTTGTTCACTGGCTGGTGATTGGGCTGAGGGCCAGTCAGGCTTCTTGTTGAAGCTTTTTCCCTTTCGCTCCACCATTTCTTTAAATGGAAATAAAGATTATTATTATTATTATTAAGTAGTGTGCCCGGGGGCAAACAAATCTCGACACAAAACTGCGGACAGCTCCCACCATCTATTAACGACGGCGGCAATCAGACAGCCAATTCGCCGGTTTTCTGGTTGAAGCCGTCGCTTATAAATGGCAGAAACCTTTCTGGCCTTTCCCCTCTGGCTCGCCTACTGGCGGCCAGCCATTTTTTCATTCCCACTATAGTAAACCTTCGCTGGTCTTCCTTCTTCACTAGAGTGAAAAAGCTGAAAGTTTTTTCGCTGTTTTCTCCCGTTACCAACATGGAGAGGTCTACTTTCCCCCAAAGCAGTTGGGAGGGCCAATCGCCGTAATCTACCGAAAAAAGCTCGGTGAGTGACGTGGCTGACAATGGGTCTAGACCAGGGGTGGCCAGGCTGACCCGGCCTAAGAGCCGCAAACGAAACCACGAAATTTCTAAGAGCAGCGGGGGGGGGGGGGGGGAGGGGGGGGGCAAATTTAATGTTTGTTCAGAGTCTGATTGTACATATGAGTGTACAAGGGTGTACGACAGTACAGCCTTGTGCACTTATACGTAATAAAGTAATACGTAATAAAGTATACCAAACCGCAAGCCGTACTTTATTCTGCCTGAAATCCCTTCTTTTTTTCCTGGGGAAACGCGGAAAGGAGCGAGGGGTGTGTGGGGGGGGGGGGGGGGGGGGGGGTTCTTTACGAGGGATCCGCGAGCCGCACTTGGTCCAGCAAAGGGCCGCATGCGGCTCGCGAGCCGCGGTTTGGCCACCCCTGGTCTAGACTGAAAAGAAGCGTCTGCTCTGCGGCACAAAGCACGGCGCTTTGCCGTGCTTAGTCAACACCACCTACGATAATCGAAACTAGTGAGCGCTCTAATTTTGACGTCATCTCAGTGAGATCGAGCGAAGACGCAGATTGGGGACGAGTGCTGCGTCAGTGCTCGGCTTGGCCTCGTGACCAATCAACGCGTCGAAGGACGCTCGGAGTCGGGCTCGGGGTTTGACTGCCGAGTGGGAGCCATCCCACTCTGATGACGTTTCACGGAAAAAAAGAGTGGGGCGTTCGGAGGCCTTCCTTATTCTAGATGGTGTCGGCTCGGTGCCACAGGGCAGAATATATATTTTAGGTATCGTGTCTCGTGCTCTAGTCGCTGACAGGTCTCGAAAGGCACGGCCTAGCATGTTGCGCTTACGCGTAATGCGTGGTGATTCGTTTCTTGGTACTCTTATCGCGGTTAATTTTTACAATCTCATTGGGTGCGATGCTGGAGACGCGCCACGACCTGCGCTTCCTAAGTTGTCAGTCAGTACGCAAATATAATTTTTCTTATAGGGATTAGAGTAGTCGTACAGCTCCCCGATGTTTAGCATAGAGAATCGCAACGCATCGGGCACCGCCGGACGCAGACGGAAAACCAACTCTTTCCTGACGCAGGAAGTCGTCATGCCCGATGCGTGCTCGGTGAATGGACGACGGCGAATCGCGTGACGTTGGCTCACAACTGGTCACGTATGCGCGTCTGCGCGGTACACAAAGAGTGGGATATACTTTCCTATACGGAATATCTCCAAAGCTTTCATTTATTTTCTCTCGGCCTCTCTCGCTACTATAATACACCATAGAGGCTCTCCGGAAAGGAGGTCAAACATGCTTACCACATCTTCGTGGCCGCACAGCTTTCGCACGGCGCAGAGCCTTTCAGTGCATCCGAGGTCCTTGATCATTTTGTCGAGCGTGTCGTAGAACTGCGTTGTGAAAACGGCTGCTTTAGGGGATAGATCGATGGATTCATTGTAAAGTATTGGGATAGAGGTTTTTCACTTAGTTGTGGGTGTATGTGAAGAAGTTGTCTGGTGTATAAAGAATAACTTATATCAAATGGGAATTTTGCTACACCAAAGATATGGTGGCGGCCGAGATGTTTGTCTTTAGGCTGACAGGGAATTGAAGGCTACAGGCACGAAATCGCGGGTTTGGAACAAGCACGAGCGCATCTGTACCTCCAGCGCAGATAGTGTAAGACGATTGCGAAATTTAACTAGTGCATTTCTTTGTATAAACCGTTTGCTTATTAAAAATGTATATTTTAAGCTACTGAACGAGTGTCTCAATTTCTCGCTCAGCACTTCGGCCTCAACACTGCGCGATGCAAGACTGTTTTGTTTGAGCCACCGACAACCTCAGAAACGCAGGACGTGACCTTATATTTTCGCGCTTCTTGTTAGTGATTCGTTCTTCCGGATGATTTTCAGTTAATGCTCTTATTTCATTCACTGCGGAGGTACAAGATAATGCTCGATCCTCCTGCGTTTCTTTTTCTTGTTTTAGTGACAGTAGCAACGTTTTCCTGTGTCGAAGTTAATCCCATTGGACAAAAATAGAGAACAAAGCATTGTGTCTTCATAAGCGCTACTTCCGTCGTTTGCCAAAAACTTGACATTGTAGGAGGCTGGACTCCGTAGAATAAAACAACAGACGACTGTGCGCCCGGCGGCACGTTTGCCTTGCGCGTGACGGGAATAAAGCAAACGCGGCAGGGCAAATTCTGTAGTTTTTTCGCAGCGTGCTCGATCCTAAAGTCAAGCCTTTACCGGAAAATAAAAAAAAAAACTGGTGTTTGCTATCTCCCAAGGGGGGCAAAACCGTGAATAATTTTATTTACTACATTTAAAAAAGTACCTAGGTTATGCAACGACCACGATGACTCTATTTCGTTTGACCCAGTTTCTGTGCATTATGGGGAATCTCTTAAGATATATTCAGAAAACAACTACTTAAGAAAGGTACATATTTTCCCCACGAGGATGTATGCTATGCCTTGCTCATTTGAAAGCGGATGCAGCAGAGCATTTATTAGTAGTCTTCAGATGTACAGGTGTATGACATTATACATTCCTGTTCACCCTCACTCAAAACGAGCGACATTGTTATCCCAAAGCATTGTAAAAAAATAGCAAAGCGAATAAATTAGAATAAATCATCTGGGCATATAAAAGCGAGTTGCAGTATAAGACTGAAAAGATTGTCGGACACTTCTTTTGAACGCTCGCGCTATTGTACAAATCGGCGCAACAAAACGATTTGGTTATAAATACAACTATAAATACGCAAGAACAATTCAGGTACGTACACTGCTAGCGTCTGGAACCTTCGCTATAACACAGGCTATTAGTTTCTTCATTTCGGCGTCGCTCTTCTCTGCAAAAGAAGAAGTGAATCTCGTTTAAAGTAAAATTCGTTTCGTGGCGATTTAAGTAGCGGACAGCTACAGCAATCAATGCGTTAGGTGTTCAGGCGACGTTAGATTGTCACGGGATTAAGAGGCTCTTCCAGATCGAAGCAGGCAGGTGGAATTATCAAACCCCGAAATAATATCTGACTCCTGCAACGTGAGTATTCACTCCAGATGTGTTCTGAGCAACAATGCGCTAACACACTTGATCACCGAAAAACAAATTACACTATCATACATTGAATACAATTTCATGCTAAATGTACATCCATTTGGTTAGCCAATTGACGAGGTGTACCGACACTTTG